ATATATATATATATAATATATATATATATATATTATATATATATGTAGGTATACATTTAGATCTCTAAAGAAAAAGAAAATAAACATGACAAATGTACTTACATTATTTAAAAACTTGTTTAAGGCAAAATCATGAGGGCATTTTTTTCTCCACCACCACATATATTGGAAAAACAATAGATCTTAAATTTACATTAGACATAGTCATTGTCCTTAAAGGAATATGTGACTTTAACTCCCACTGAAATATTGAATTTCACCCTATATTCTGATGCTTCTGTTAGACCCAGATAATTCTACGCTCCTCATGTGACCATGATTCATACTAAGCACATATCCATTTAAATAAAAAGAGCTTCCCCAATATCTCCCTCCAAGATGCTTCTGTCCCACATTATGGGGGTAAACGGTTTATAGTGGCCCTTCACATTATGTGGAGAATGACTCATATAATCCTATCTTCCCCAAATTCAGTTCTGATGAAGCCATTCTTCCACCTGCTGGAGGGAAACTCCATCTCACCCACATCCTATCCCAGGAGCTCTGTACATGGCTTCTGGGATGATTCCGCCAAAAAGTAAGTTCAAACTAATGAACAACTTATCAAATGTATTTGCTTACCAAAAACATGTTTATAGAATTTGTGCTGAATAAATTAATGATCTACAGAGTATGGGAGGAGCCAGGATCAGCATCAAAAGCCTTCACACCCACCTTTTCTTTCCTGTTCTCCCCTCTTTTCCTAGAACCTCCCTCCCTATCACCTCCCACCCTCCCAGCAATCTGATGAGACTAGAGACAGTGGCGGGGAGCAAGCTCCACATAACGAAAACCAGTGCACTAAATCATCTGTGAAATTTGCGAACTATGATACATTTCTCACATGCAATAAAAATTGTTATGAACTACAAAACCTATGGAACTGAATTTCTTTAACTTTTGATAAGCTGTAGATTTGGTATGTTCATTGAATTTTAGTGAAATCGAAGAAAGAGACTTTTAAAATACCAATATGCTGACACAATAGAATTTGACTATAAAAAATCAAGAAGATAATAGTATGAAGTGAAACTTTCCCATATAAATTGTTGCACTTACATTCACATGAAAAATATACACATTAAATATACTCAGAAAATATTCACGAGTATATTTATAAAAATAGACCCATAAGATTAATTCCTTACCTTCAAGAAATTAAATAACAGTACTTCAAATGCTGCTAGAAAGAACATATTCATTATGTTCAAAAAGAATATACTTATAATCACTGAATACATTCAAAATGAGTATTTCTTAAAACAGTGTTAAATAAATTGATAATTTGATAAATTCAGCAAATTGCTTTCAATGAACTGACCCTTCAGGATGGGCATTCACTCATATTGTTTCTGGTGACTCACTTCAGCAGCTGGGCTGAGCCTGCATGCCCAGGACTGGCCCAGACAACCAGGAGCTCTGCAAGTTCCAAATACCTCCTACATCCTGTCCCTACAGCCCATATGTACACTCTCCTCCCTGCCCATCCCTTCTCCAATGCCCCCTCCTACCCTCCAGGTCTAACCTCCGTATCTCCATATTCCAATTACAATTTAGCATTTATAACCCTGACACTTACATGGCTTCTAACTAACATCTGAAGTCTGTCTTCACCACTAGACCATAAGGTCCTTGAAGTCAGAGGCTAAGTTCTCGTTCATCTCGGCCCCACACTGTCCCTAGCTCTGTACCCCACACAGTTAAAGTGCTCAATAAATGTTTGTGGCATTCACATTCAAAAGCACCTAGTGATACAATATGCTTTCGGGGAAAATAGTACTATTTCATGTGCATATGACCTTTCTTAGTGTTTGTTTTGTCAAAGTCAGATTGTAACTGATTTTAAAGCAAAGCACACCTGTTTCTAATAAGAACAGACCCAGGTGATCTGACTCCAGGCTCTTCCCCATCCCTAACCTGAATGATCCTATCATCAACCACTCAGCAGTAGAGGGAAGGCATGAACAGAAACTGGCTCTCCTCTCTCCACAGGTTATGGCAGGAGATTTTTAAAAGTCAGCCTAACACTGTGGTGAGGAATTTCTGTCACTCAGTCTCACACCGAGGTCATAGACACAGTGCTGGGGACAGAAGAGCACAGTATGTGCCCTGGGCTCTGAGTCAGACTCAGGCCATGAAGGTTGAATTCTGGTTCCACCACATGGGAGCTGTGTCCCTGGGCAAGATACTCATCTCCTTTAAGCTTCAATTTCCTTTTGAAAAAAAATGAAAATGATAAATACACATGTCTCTCAGAACTGCAGAGAGGTGGCTTGGGTTGATGCATGGATGGCACATTACTAACAGTCAAAAGAAATGTTCGGGAATAGAGTGAGAGAGTCAGTGTGGGCATGTGGCTAACAGGACCAGGACGCCTTGGGCCAAAATATCATCAGAACAATGACATAAGGTAATAATGGTTGGCTGCATCCCCAGAAGACTTTAATGAAGCCCCAGTGCAAAGGAAAGCTCATGAACTGGGGCAGAAGCCCTTGGACAGGTCTTCACTAGGGCCTAGAGAAACCCAGGGTCACACCCAGAGCAGAGGCTGGTGCCCACAGGGCCTGTTCTTCCTCCTGGGAGGAACACATCTACTCCCATGACTTTGACCACCACCATGAATCATTTACAGGCCTCTGGGCCCAGGTGTCTCCTGTAGGTGCAAAACCTTACATGTTCCACATACTCAGTTGTTCATAAAAATCATATTCTGCCCCATTCCCTCCAGCACATAAATTTGTAGTCATTCAGGCCTGCTTTACTCTCGTTGCTAACTAGTGGAATACCCGTGCTTCCCCTTCAAACTATGGACCTTTCTAAAAGTCAGTGAAAGGCATCTCAGCAAAATAAGGACCTGTTGTCTCTTCCCCTGCGGCTGCAGAAAAGACTGTATCTGCATCATAAAAGTGACCTTGCAAATGTTGTTTCTAACAAAGGAGTGGCTCCCGGACTTTAGATATTGTTGCTCTGCCACTTGAAGGCAACCTTTCATCCTGGAAAAGTCTGTAATTCCAACTAGTTATCTTGGCAAATTGCTTTTTGTCTGAAGAACATTTAAATTACATTCCTGTTATAAATATTTGTGAGTTTTCTTGGCAAATTCAAAGATAAATTATCACATGCTCTTCTTCACTTGCAATCCTGAAAGTAAACTAAAACTTTTGACTGTTGGATTTCTTTTTTTTTAATTTCAACTTTACTGAGTGTAAGTGATTAAATGGTAAGATATTTAAAGCGGACATCACCATGATGTGGCAATGCTGTGAAAGGATTCACCTCCCCCCCCCAGCCCATCTAGTTGATTAACACATCCTTTGCCTCACATACTGAACTTATTTTTTTTTCTGGTGAGAACATGTAAGTTCTACTCTCTTAGCAAATTCCACTTATGCAATACAATATATCAACTGTAATCACATTTTACAACATTAGATCCTCAGACCTTCTTCATCTTTGAGCTGAAAGTTTGTGTCCTTTACCAACCCCCCACCAATTTCCCCCACTGCCCAGCTGAGCTCCTGCCAACCACTTGTTATGTTTCTTATTTGAGCAAAAAACCTTTAAAAAAAAATATTATTGATCCCCAAGGCTCGGATCAGTCTTTCCTTCATTTGTATCTCTCAGGCACTTTGAATCCAACATATCCCAATTTATATGCACTCTCTTCCTTCCAACACACCTGAACCCTGATTTCTGTCTCAGCTAGGGTAATAGTATCCCCCCAGCCTCCCAATTAGAAACCTCAGTCAGCCCAGCCCCTCTCTCTTGCCCCCTTTCCGTATTCAGTCATGACATCCTGTCTCGTGGGGGGAGCAGCCCCAGCCCGTGTCACCCTCCCTGCAGGCCACTTCTGCAGTCCATCCAGGTTCGGGTTTGTGAAAATGAAGGAGAAACCCCACTGAGGTGGAGTTGGGGGCTGAAAGGCGGAGCCATTCCACTGCACGTCAATCACAGGCCCGACAGAACCGGAAGGAATCATCGGTTACAAGCCCCACAGGGAAAAGACGTACATTGCATCTCCTATAAAGTGAAATCAACCGTCCTACAACTCAGCCAATGAGAAACGGTCGCCACCCTGAACTCTTGCTCTTCTCCCGTGGACTTGCCTTCAGAAGAACCCCTCCCAACTTCCCCCTTCTCTGTAATATAACGTTCCTCTGTTTTGCTTATAGGACTTGCCTGTGGTTTTGCAGCAGCTTGCGTGTCCGAAGTTGCAATTCTCTGTTATTCCAGGACAAACCCATTCTTTGCTGGTAAAATAACTGACAGTATTACTTTTAAGGTTAAAGATTCTCATAATTCCCTTACCCCAACCTAGACCACTGCAAAAGCCTCCAAACATCTGTAACCCAGCTTCCATGCTGATGCTGTCATATTCCGAAAAAGTAAAGATCTTTTTCGGAATCTCTCCCAACTCCTCACTGTGCTGCTTTCTTAAAACACTGTCTCAACCTCACGAAGGTGCTTGCCTTTCCCAAAACACTTCCTGGAGTTTTTCTAAACACCTGCAGGCATTTGTATATAACGTCTCTTGTCCAGGAGTGCCCTTACCTCCAACCTCCCATTGATTCACTGTGTAGACCAAATGTTGCTCCTCCGTGAAGAATTGCCCAACTCAACTCCACCAAGAAATACCCACCTCTTCTATGGTCCCCTAGTACCTTGCTGATACCTTAATTGTAACCCCACATTGTATTGTTTAACTCTACTCACTTTGGCCTCTTGAAGTGGATTGTGGGTCCCTTGTAGGCACAGGTGTTTATTCAACTGCCTAGTTCTGACTTGGTATCATAACCAGCAATATAATAGTTACTCAATAAATGTAAACTACAAAACTCAATTTAGTTTTATCTTCAGAGTGAGAATGACTAAGTGCCACACAGAGGACAGGTGAAATCATTAATATGTGTGAAGTGTTTTGTAATTTGAAGAGGTGATGCAGGGATTCAGTGTCCCCCCCCCCTAGCTCTCGGGACGTGTGGCGGCTCCGTGGGCCAGGCGCAGCCTTGGAGAACATCACAGCTCCTTGTGGTCTCTCGGCAGATCCCGCACAGGACGCGGCAGAGCACAGAGGGCGGGGGTGGAGGCAAGGACCTGAGCCTTGAGGAGACCTGGGTTTAGTCCCAGTAATACCACAGTTTAATTCTGTCGCCTTGGAGAAGCTGCACTAGCTCCTTGGACCTCAGTTTCTCGTTTCTAAAACAATGACATTAAACTTAGATCATCTTCCCTTCCCTGCAAAGTCTAGAATTCTGTTGATGGCCCACTGAAAAGCTAAAACTCCCCTAGCAAATGCCCTTCATATTTCAATAACATCATCACCTTTGTAATTTCTATAGAAATGAAACCAATTCAGAGCTGTTGTCCACACGGCCAGTCTCTCTTGAAAAATACCATCAGCACTGGCCAGGGCGGTATGGTTTGAGAGGCTCTGGGAAAATCCTCAGCCCCTGAATTTCTCCCTCTATTAGAATTTATTTTTTGAGGTTATTGTATTTATTTTGTCTAAACTTCCGCTTTGAAAAGTCCAATACCTCCAGTCTCAGGTGGACTGTCTCCTTATTTACATCTGCACACTCAATCATATCACTTTGAGACTCTAGAAAGAACTTCCTCCCATGCTCTCCCCTCTCTTCCTGGAGTACCCCTGTCTCCTATCAGCTCTTTGCTTCTCTGCTCATATTGATCCAACTGCATCAGCGCACTGAATACAAATCTTTGATGCCTCTGCGTCTTCTGGATTCTGTTCCCTCTCCTTGCACTCCTATGTTTTGGAACAGAACAGGAGTCAGCTAAGAGAAGCAGGATTAAGCAATGCACGTGAGGACCAGAATGGTACTGTGTCCTGCCCATCCCAGGGAGAAGGGAATTTTAAGAAGGGGTCATTAACACGGCTAGGTTGGGCCAGTGAGGAAGACAAAGGAGGTGAGGGCAACTAAGGCTTCTAGCTTCAGAAACCAACTAGAAGCTGACCAACGTCACCTTATTATCAAATCTAAAGGTTTTCACTGGAGATGTGGAAGGCTTAATAAAATCTCCAAAAGAAACTGCATCTGTTTACAGAATGCAAACAATGCATGAAAACCTATGAAAACCAGGTCTCCTGCGAACCCCTGTGGGAGGTCTGGCTTACCTCCTGCCTCAACTGCTGTGTCTAGAGATGGCAAAGGATCAATAACCAACACCCTCGTCTTTAAGATACAAATAACAAGAACAACATTTTACTTCTTTTCTGCTCTCATTTGTTTTATGAACATGCATTATTATCCCCCATTTAAAATTTAAAAATTGAGGCTTAGAAAGGGTGTAAAGTACTTTCCAAGTCACACTACCCCTAACACAGTACTCCCCAAGCCCCAAACATACCTCCAAGCCTTTGTCTCTGTCTTATCCCCGACCCAAACAAGCAGCCTTTTGCCCAAGGTACCCCAATAATCCACTGACCTGCAGGTAGCTGAGAAAGAAGTAGGAAGCTCTATCAAGGTGCCTTGGGTAGTTTCTCAAGGAAGAAAACTGCTTTGATCTCTAATACTCCTACTTCCTCCTCAGATTGGAGTTTACCAGAATACCTCGAAGTGGGCTAGTAATTGCGCCACGACAAAGTCCCTGAATTCCAGCCATGTGGTTGGCTGGACAGAGATGGCTGAATGGAAATGGATAGGCAGAGACTCTCTCTCTACTGGCCCAGTGAATGATTAACAGCAGAAATAAAGCAGTGTTTACCTAATCTCCTTCCTCTTCACTAGCGCACTTTCTTGATAACATGTTGTAATCATTTATTTTCTTCTCTGCCAACCATTTCCCCTAAGTGGAAAGATAATATGAGCTTGATGCCAGAATTCTGTGTTTATTTTTTTTTTCAGAAACACAAGAGAATTATGCAAGATACAACCCAGCTAGCTTGGACACCGTAGATACAGCAGGCTTTGGACTAGATCCATCCAGAAAAGTCGTCCACTTTCGAGGATGCTCGGTCCAGCAGGCTTTCCTGGGGCTCAGTGACTAATAGCATGGCCCTGTGCTGGTGTCCATCCCACCCCAAGGAAGTACAAAACGTGGGGGGGATTAACACACTTACTGAGTTTCTGCAATGTGCCGAGTTGTCTGGAACATGATGCACAGTCAGTACTCAATAAATGTTAAGTACCACCACACCGCCGTTACTCCATGCTGGACACCGAGCTGGTCTATCAGTCAGTGCTGTCAGAGCAAGGAAGTGATGGGCCAGCCATGCTTGCTATCACATAGATCTAGGAAGGAACCCAAACCCTGACATTTTCCAATTCAGCTATTACTCATGCTCAGCATTAAGCTTGTTTGCTCAGGAGATTGCTATTAAAGAGCAATTTTTCCTGAGAAGTTCACTTTTTCTGTCAGAAACACCAAAGGCCCCATGAAGGTTTTAGAAAAGGAGTTGAACCACACAGAAGTTTTGACAAAAATAGGGACTTGGACTGGGCTTTGAAAGGAAAGAGGAAATTATTAGATGAAAATGAGAACATGGGCTGTCATAAAGATGGGACTCATTTGCTGGTTTGGCAAGAGTGAGAGCAGAGGAGGATTCCAGATTGCACAAAGTCCTGAGAGCTACGTTGTTGGAGGAAATAAACCTTTTAAGCTGAGTCCTCAAAATACCATTTCTCCATCTATTGGAGTCCTTTTCTTTACTTACCACACTGAGTGTTCCAGACTTTTCTCTCCAGGTCACCAAATTATCTTCCTCTCAGCAGATGATCTTACCTCCTACTTTACTGAAAAAATATTCTCCATTACCTTCTATCCACCTCAAATTTTCTCTCTTCTCTCTTGTTTCGGAAGAGATGTTTGTTCTTTTCCTTCCTCATTTTCAATGGGTCTTTCATCCTGAAATAGTCCCTCAGTCTTGACAAAAACCTCAAATTCCATTTTTCTTCAATCATGAGATGAACGTCCCCCAGGAGTCTTCTTTATCTCCCGCCCACTCTTTGTCATTAATCACTTCCCACCCCTCCCATCGTGCCTTCCAACTTGGCATCTTCCTGCCTTTACCGGCCCACCTCTTCGAGGCCTGCCTTTACCTCCCAATCCAAATTCCCTGTAACTCGTCTCTTACCGGGTCTCAGCAGCCTCCACCATTGCCGATCACCTCCTTACGGGACTCTCTTCTTCGGCCTCCATTACCCTACCTTCCAGTTGCTCTTTCCTTACTTGTCACCTCCTCATCCTCCCTCTCATCTCTAAATATAGATACATCCTGGGTTCTTCTGGCTAAAAATTTTTCTCTTCACATCTTTAATAATTTTTCCTGCTCTCGTGGCTTTAACTCCTCCCTAAAAGAGACCTAGCCTGTCACTCTCTCTTTACCTCTGATCACTCTCCTCAGTGCAGACATGCATTTTTTATGGCCCATTGGACATCTTACAAGCACCTTATACTCAGTACATCCAAGGAGGAACTTTCATGCTGGAAGCTTCTCCTTCTGACCCCAGCATTATCCAGCCTCCCAAGAATAGAAGTTCAGGCTCCTCTTTCCACCCTTCGCCTCCCTCTTCCTCCAACATTTAATCAGTTGACAAGTTGTTTTTGATTTTCTCGTGTCTCTCATGTCTGCTGTTTCTTTTCTACTTCCACTGTCACCAGACCAGTTCAGGTCATCATGTCTCTTGCGTGGCCTGCTGCAGTCACCCTTCAATGGTTCCTGTGTCTCAATTCTTTTCTTAGTTCCACATATGCTACATACTGTTGTGAGAGAAATCATCTATATTCTGTCCTTATCATTTCCTTGCTCGAAAGTTTTCTGTCTTTACTCACTGCTAACCAAATAAAGTTTAAGTTCTCTAATATACCCAAATAAAATAAAATAACCCCCCAAATAAATAAACAAATAAATTCTCTAACATGCCCTTTAAAGCCCTCCATAAACTGGCTTTAATATATCATTCCAGACATCTGTCCTATCATTTCCCATATTTTATCCAGGCCAGTTCAGGCTGTGGTTATTCCCTAAACATGCTCCCATCTTTTCTTGGCCCTGTGCAGTGTCCTTTTATAAAAAATCTTATTAAAAACTCGATTTGAAACATAAAAGAACTTTTTAAGAAGAAACACCTGTATTCTCACCATTCTAAGATACCTGTTTTGAACTTCGTGTATGATTGCCCAGTGCTTTTCTACAAAAATAAAGGTTTTACATAAATGCAATCCGAAGTATTTGTTATTCTGTATTCTATTTTTACTTAAGGTTATATTTTTAAGATTTTCTGTTGGAATTTTCACTGCAAAAGGTTACATTACGTTTGAGGTGCCATAATTTCTTACAGATTTTCCTAAGATTGCATATTGCAAATGCTCACAGGTCTTGTGGCATATATCATAGAGGCGATACTATAATGAATAGCTTCCAATTAAAAATCATTTTGCTCAAGTTAGATTAATCCTAGGAGCAGATTTACTTGGTTTAAAAGCTTATGCATCTCTTACCCATTCCTCAAATATATTTTTACCTGGTATGCCCTCCTCCCTAATCCTTGTCTCAAATCCTAGCCACTTTTAAAGGCCCAAATAACTATGAGGTCTCATTGACAATTTTCCTGCCTCCTCCTCCTTCCAGACAGAAGTTATCCTCTTCACGTCTGATAGTGTGGCACACTGTTCTGTTAAAGGTGTTCATCCCATCCTAACCACCTGAATTAATAACTGTCTATGTGTGTATGTTTATATATATTCATATCTTGTGTCTGTTAATAGACTGAGCTATTTGACAGTCCATTTTCTTATTCTCCTTTTTAACTTCACCTGAAGATTTTCCATTACTTCAAGCTCTCCTATGTATTTTGTTTGCATTTTACCCAGATTTCTCATGTGGTTTGGAGTAGAGTTCAGAGGAAGAGATGGGAGAAGCTTGTTGTATTAGCTCAGTATGACACCTTGACAGGAAAACCTTAAGATTCTTGTCTCTTCTGCCTTCTAAAAAAGGAGAAGAAAATTTATTCTCTTGGGTTGCACCATCTCAAATTTACTGGGTTTCACCTAAAAGGCAGTAAGCAATATTACTGCAGAAGATTTGAGACCTGGTTTCATAAACAGGATGTAGGGGAGACCCAGTTGAGAGTTTGGGTTCTAATTCTATTTTTGTCTCAATAGGTCATTTTAAGCATATAACTGTTCTGAACTTATTTTCCCAAAATGAGAGGTTAATTTTTTGCCTTGAAAGTTTTGGTTACTTTGAGGCAAATTTTTGCCTTCTCATAGTATCTCATTAAATATGATGGACACACTTAGCTGTGATGTGAGCTCCCCATTCTCTTTACAGACTCCCCATTAATGTGTCACTAATTCTGGTTTCAAAGAAACCACCACCACACTTGGTCTTTCCACATCCTGAGTCACACACACACACACACACACACACACACACATCATGCATTTTTTATATGTATAACTGCAGTTGGTTATTGTGAAGTTGCATTTCAGTCCAATGAGATAAAAATCTGAAACCAATTTCAGAACCAAGAGGAAAATTTACTCATAGGTGTATTTTTATTTCCGGTCTGCTCAGACCATGTCAGGGCAACATTTTTTCCTCCAACTCAGCTTTCTTCATTCCCAGAAAATATTTTAGTTTCTCCATTGTTAAACCATTTTCCTTTAATCTTTGCATAAAGATCTCTATAGCTTGGCAAAGTTCCTTGCTTTCCTGAAAGGCAAGCTGAAAAAAGAAAAAAATGTTTAAGTTACAACTTAAGAACTGAGACCCAGCTTTTTATAGTTGACCCTAGAAAAATGTGGGTATTAGGGGCACTAACTCCCTTGCAGTTGAAAAGTCACATATAACTTTTCACTCCTCCCAAACTTTACTAATAGCCTACTGTTGATTTTATGGTACTAAATGATAAAATAGAACAGGCTACATATATTTTATGCATTCATGGCATACGTAACTTTTTTTTTTTATTTCTAGGCTACATTCTTTGTCTGAGAGTTTTTTCATCCTGTTGTAAATCTCAAAAAAAAATTTCCAATATGTTTATTGAAAAAACCTGCATCTAAGTGGACCTGTGCAGTTCAAACTTGTTCAAGGGTCAACTGTACCCTGAAGCCAGTGAGCAAGGCTTAGGTACCTGAATGACGACTCAGATACCAGGAATAGCTTAACCATGAATCTAGGTCTTTAATATAATGAATTATTTACATTTAAATATACTAACTATTTCCCCAGTAATAAATATAAACTAAAGAGAAGTCTCAATGTAAAATTGTCTGTTCAGTGTTTTTGGTGTCTAGAAGAATTTTAGAGACTTTTCAAAGCAATACTTCCAACTCTAAAGTACATACCTTGGTCTATAAAACACAAGACAACTCCTACCAACAGGGTCTCATGAGATATTCATGATGCTGGTGGTGAATGGGAGCTTCCACATATGAAATGTGAGTTCATGGTTTATGAACCCTGTTCTACCATCAGGCCAAGGCCAACCCATTCAAAAACATGCCATATTGAAGAGATATTTCCCAAGCATGTGGCAGGAGCAATGCCAGGCCCTGGAGATACAGGCTGTGAACAAGACAGACCACAGCCTACTACTTACAAGTGCCTTCTCAAACTCAGTCTGTGGAGCTTCTTGAATCGACTCACAGACTGGAAGTCCACTGTCCCACTCTCCATCCAC